TTGCTTTCTGCTTGTGCCTTCTCCTAAGTCATAGCCAATATTTTATACAACTTCTATAACCCTTCAGCCCCTTTGGAACTGCACATGGACCAGAAAGGCCAGTAAGCATCTTAACCAATATCTTTTATGTTCTTTCCACTCTGTAATTCCAGTTTGCAGGATTAAGGTAGTCAGAGGCAAGTTATTCAAACTGCTTTTCCTGGATTTTGAGTCAGCTCAATTCAGAAACTAAACTTGAATCCATAGGTAGAAAATTTTGTAAACAATCTATTTGAAGAACCAGAAGTCAAATCAGTATCTGTTAATCAGTACTAGTAATTAATTTAAACCACACATCCTTAACTTTGATTTCATTAATCTGTTTTATTCTTTTACATTGTTTAAAAGAAGTACATTATCAAAGTTAGTTCACTGTTCCAAACAGAGCCTTTTAAGTCAAATCCAGTTAGTTAGTGCCTACATCCCTTAAATCTCATGCCAAAACAGGCGTCCAAACTACATCTCAACACCTGAAACTCAGATTCTTATTCAGAAAGATACTTAAACAGAAACCTGATTTCTAAGCATGAGCATGTGCTCCATGCCAGGTAAATGCTTACGTATCTCTGCAAAACTAGCTTTAAATGGAGCGCCTTTTCTAAGCAGCATAAGCTCATCACAGGTTTCGACATGAAACTGTACAAAGATAACTCTCCCTGGTCCAAATGCATCACTAGGAAGAGAATGGGAACAGATCCAGAAGCTAGATACAGGTGTGAGGTTGCAGAATGTGATAACACAAGCTTTTTTCACCTTTTCACTCCCCAGACACTGCAAACAGCTTTCAACACCTCCTGTATCAGCCTCAGTTGACTGCCAACTTTGACTGAAGGAAACGAGCCTAACGCTCATAGCCGCTAATCAGACCAGCTCACAATAGCCTTCCTGGGAAATGATGTACGTTTATTGTTGTCTTTCCAATTGCTACAACTGTATTTTCTCATTACAGGAAAAACAAAATCTGGACAGGAACTGTATTTTGTGACACAGTGGTATCAATCAAATCAAAGAAAGAAGGACTGGGTCTTGTGTTGTTAAGTTAAAAATTAATTGCAGAAGACCAGAAAAAAAAAAAAGGTAAATATTTCATCATATAACTAAAGAAATCATAGATTTAGCATAACAAAAGATACATGCTTTAATAAATAAACATAGTCATTTGAATTTAGCTTGCTTAGTATCAAACTCCAGTAAAAGGAAAAAGCTGTATTTTATCAAACAGCTGGCCAGTGATTTATAGAAGCAATTGATGAGGTTAAAATTGAACTTACTTATAAAAGATGTTTCACCCAGGTAACCTCTCCGTTTAAGAACAACATCAAGATATTTGGAGTCTTCATTTACTAAATAATACTCTTTTTCTAAGGAGATCCATGCCCAGTTTAGGCGAAAATGTTGATTCTTCAGCTTATTGCCTCCTGCAAAACAGAATGATAATATATTAATTTTTCTTTTTTGTTAAATACTGCTTTGTCTTTTGAGGTTAATGTAACCTGTATCCTGTGTAAGATGTGTATCTTAGCTGGACATTATAATCCAAAGGTTTTAAAGATTTAAAACTAAGAAATAAGAAGTAAAGAACTCAACCATGATACATTTGGTACATGCAGGAATAAATTTTATCTTAGATGCACACAGACTAGCCACATTCATTCCAGAGTATGCTAATTTTCTTCTTTTTCAAGGGAAAAAGGACAAGAATTAATCAAAACATATTTGGGATGCCTTTTTTAGAAATTACAAAAATTGTGGATGATCCAAGTTTCTGCAGAACTGTATGGGTATTTCCAAATACACAACGCAGGACATCATGCAGAACTTCCTCAACATGATCAGACTGCCAGAAGCACTAGAAGACCCTTAGTATCCTGAGAGACTCGAGACGATACTTACCATCTTTTAGACTGCATTTACCAATGCAGTCTGCTTCTAAAACTCAATATTTTGTTCACTAAATCTAACAATTTTTGCTTTTATTGGTTTAATATTTATACATCAGCACTGTATGATTTTAGGAACAGTTTTCACATCTTCCTAGGAAATGGTTTCAACAAGATTAAGCACCCCTGATACGCGCCACAGTTTATAGCTATGCTGAGGCTCTTCTAAGCTTATATGCTTGTAACTGTTGGATTAAGGACGATTGCCTGTGTCACCTAAGAAGGCTTAGAGAGATACAAACACCTATTGGAATTCTCTTAAACTATTTTGCAATGACCTATCTTCATGATATGATGAATGCCCCTAACTGAGTAAACTGCTGAGATGTGTTTTGAGAGTCAATTTTCAACAGACCAATAGATCACAGAATCACAGAATTTTCAGAGTTGGAAGGGACCTCTAGAGATCATCTAGTCCAACTCCCCTGCTAAAGCAGGATTGCCTAGAGCACATTACTCAGGACTGCATCCAGGCGGGTTTTGAAAATCTCCAGAGAAGGAGACTCCACAACCTCCCTGGGCAGCCTGTGCCAGTGCTCTGTCACCTGAACTGTAAAGAAGTTTTTTTGTGTGTTGGAAAATGCCCAACTGTGCATGAAAATGCCCAACTGTGCATGTGTGAGATGCCCTCACAGTTCTTTTTACACAGGCACTGTAGCAACACAGTCCTGGTGAAGAAAGGTGACTCCAGGGATCCTTTCCAAGGTCTCTACTGTAGCAGTAGCACAACAGCTTCTCTGAAGTCTTGGTGAACACAGATGGTCTCTGTGCCCTCAAACACTGGGATTGAAAGCACAGGGCATCAAGCACTACACTCAACTACGGAAGCTGAATAGTTAACGTGGACCAAGTCAGCATCTCTGGCTGGCAGCTGTTGATGTTGATAGCATTGTCCTTAAGTTGAAGACTGCATCGCCTCTTACAATAATGGGAAGAATCTTCACAGTCTTCCTCAAAGAAAAATGCCCATATATTTATCAACAGAAGTAGGGCCCATTTTTTTGAAGCCAAAGCCACGCAGGAATACAGGAAGCATCCCTCAAAGTTTTAGACAGGATGATACGCATGCCATTAAAGTCCAGCTGCAAAACACTAAGCACCAGCCTAAAATCTGAGCATGCCTCAGCCTAATCTCTCTCTCCCAGCAGAAACAAAGCAGTTGTGTCTACAATTAATGGGATTTCTACAAGTGTAAACCAGCAGGAAATGTTCATTGAAGTGGCAGGCTTCACAGAGTTTTTCTTAGTCCAAAAAAGCAATCCAGAAACAGCAAATGCAAACAGATGGCACTCTAAGGTCCAGTTAAAAATGCTACTTTTTTTTGAGTTGGAAAAGTAATAGCTGAAAAGAGCTCTAGCATCCATTTCACTGACTATAAACCATGTATTTGTACAACAGACTGAGTATCTCAAATTAGATTAACACATTTCTGATAAAATATAGCATAGCTTTACTTTCTCATGTACAGTTTACCTCCATCTGTTCACTGATTTTCCACAGTAAAAAAGCATTTCTTGTCAGTATAGGGATTCTGGATGCTACAGATAAAAGGGCATGAGAAATCAAGTTCTGTATATCATTCGATTGGATGTGTGTGCTATTACTCAGGAGAATCCTTCAGTTTCCATAGCAAGAACAGAATAACCTGTTCAGCTCACTGAAGGCAGATGCTCACTCAGTAACTGTCTTCTGGGAACGCTGGCTTGTATGAGAGGCTGTAGTCTGATTTCCTTCCCACAAGGTGCTGCTACAGCACAAGGTTTGCTCAGGTAACGACTGTCTTAAATGTGCAAGGAATTCCCTTTAGAAATTAACACTTCTGTACACAAGCCAGTGAATAATGTAATTCTTCTGAACAGCAGAGAAACATATCTAAGTATTTCTGCTCACTCATGGTTTAACTACTGGAGGAAGAGCCAAATGGAGCTTGGTTTTCCTCTTCTAGTTTCTTCCATTCTGTTCCTTGAAAAATTAGCCAGCCCTTCCATATGCTTCCACTCTACTTCAAAGATAAACTTCTATATTTTTATTGACCTGTCTACTAGAAAAAAACAACCATACTTGTGTAATCTAACATAAAGGCAATGGTACTGTGTAAACAAAAGGACGGAAATGGTTACTGGAGTATCATGCCACACTCCTTGCCCTGATTCTTTCTGGTCTTTTGATCTCTAACATTACTGACAAAGGGGAAGGCTACAAACACACATACCAAAAAATGTAATGAGCACCACAAGAAAACCAGTAACTATGGAGTTAGCTATACCAGCACTCACATTAGGTTAGCCACGTGTTATGTCTTCCCATTAGTTTCTTGGGACAAATGCAACAGAATGTGTCTTTTTCTTTAATCTAGTGAGAAAAGCCATTTGTGTGCCACCCCTGAACACACTGCCTAATTTAAACATAATTTGACAGAGGGATAAAAGTTTCTAAGATATAGAAGGAACAAAGATTTACTGCCTGTTAGAGGAGAGGGAACCCATTAGTATCACTACTGAGAAAAAATACTGCTGCATGAGCTTACTAGAAATGAGAATGTCAGACATTGGAAACCCCCCAGCTGAAGGAAAAACTTCTAGAAGAGTTTGTATCTTTTTAGACAGAAGAGATTCCAGCCAGGGGATGGAAAAGAATAGGAAATCCGGCATCTTTTGTTCTACTGTCCAAAGAACTAACGGTTTAAATGTGTTGTGGACACAGGCCCACAATCTACAGTTTACTTGTACACAGCTCTCTTACATTTCATCTCTAGTGTCTTAAATAGTTCAACCTTAAATGTAATCTATATTTGCACATAATTACTGAACATATCAGAATTACTATACAAGAGAAAAAAATCCCAGCTGTTAAAAAGGAACAGTCATATGGAGAAATTTCAGTAGCAAACCACCAAAACAGTTCATTCCTGTCATCGATGCTATGGAAAATGTTGAAGTAAACTGCGTTGGAAATCTAGTGAGAGGATGAAATTTAGGGAGCAAAAAGCACAAGAAAGGCAATATGAAAGATTTAATATTGTCTTAATTCCACCTCCTTCTGGCTTTCAGCAGTTTCTTTCTATTTTTTCTTAGAGTGAAAAAAAACCAGCCCAAATTATTATTTCTAGGCATCTTCCAGCAAGTCTACATTTCTACAGGCCTAATTCTGCCTCTGAAATGTATATTGTTCACCTTTTAGAATGGGCAGTATTAACCCACCAGATTTAGAATTTTAAGAAAATAATACGGACATTTTAGATCTTGCTTTCTTCACTTTGTGCTTTTTGTGTACAGAAGATGTTTTCTGAAGTATAAAAACCATTTCACAGCCCAATGTCCCAAAAAAATAAACCCAATGTTGTTGTTGTTGTTGTTATTGTTGCTATTATTGTTATATTATTACTACAGACCTCTGACACAATAGAGCACGAAGCATATGATACATTTTATCTAAATTCAGGTATTTATTTTTGGGCTAGAAATCCTAAACTGTCTTTATAGCCAGAACTGGGAAAGAGGCATTTCGTAAGGCTATGACTTATTTTAGGCATCTATTTTAGAATGAGATTAGATGAGCCTCAAAATACGCAGAAATACATGCATTTTTCCTCAGCAGCTGTTAAAGATGCCCGTTGCAACCAGTTAGGTTGTAGCCATTTTTATTATAGTTATGTAATACCCAGTAAGATGAATTCCACCACGCCTGAACTACATGAAACTGGGCCTTTTCTACCACATAGTAGACATAGTAGATATTTCTACCACATGCAAACATCAGATCTGTAAAGCATATTGAGTATAGCTGTCAGAAATCATATCAGAAATAAAATTGCACATGCCACCTTAATTTGGTTCCCTGTTAAATTACTTATCTGCCCTACAATAATATTTGTATAGGCAAATGAATTTTGCATGGCTCACTAGCGCTTCCCTTGGGATTACTCAAACATTTAGCTGCTAGGCAAATAATTAAGATACTATACCTCAATGACAGTTTTGCTTTTGTTGCTCTCCCAGACAAGTGCTTGTAATACAAATACACCAGAAGTTTGGAGAGGGAAGCCATTACTAGAGTGCTTTTAAAACTAAACAAAAGGAAAGAGGGCTGTGTTACAATGAGATAAATCCAAAGTAAATTCCAAAGTAACTTTGTTTATATATCAATGAGACGTGGTTGGCAAGATGTTGCTATAGTGATGTATGAAAACCCGTTTCTTGAATTTTGCCAGAAATCAGCGTGCAGCAGTGCTAAATCAGAAGATTCTAGAGAAATAAGATGGCAAGACTTGTGAGACACAGTAAAATCTTTGCAAGGAGCTAAAGCTCAGGATCTAGAGTAAGGTGGGTCAAAAGTTACTTCACGACTGTGACTTCATGACTGATTGAGGCTGCTGAGAACAATACCCTCGGAAAAGGTTTGCCTGAATATGATGAGTCAAAGATGGATGTCACCTAGAAGTGGTCTTTATAGAAGTCCTGTCAGCAAATTGGTCACCT